CAATGGAGTTGCTGAACGAAAGAATAAAACCATAATGGACATGACGAGGAGCTTGCTGAAGGCAAAAGGAATGCCCAACTCATTTTGGGGTGAAGCTGTTTCTTGTTCTGTTTATTTGTTGAACAAATCTCCAACAAGGAATGTCCAAAACATCACCTCTGTAAAAGCTTGGAGCGGTTTCAAGCCAAGTGTGAAACATCTTAAGGTGTTTGGGTTTGTTGCTTATGCTCATATTCCAGCAAAGACAAGGACAAAGCTAGATGATCGAGTAGAGAAGATAATTTTTATTGGCTACAAGCATGGCGGGTACAAGCTATTCAATCCTGAGACAAAAAAGGTAATTGTCAGTCGAGATGTAACATTTGCTGAAAAAGAAGCTTGGAAATGGGATGCTAATACCCATAAAGGACCTCAAAATCGAGTTATTTCTGTTCTTGAAGAAGTAACTGAAAATCCCACCACAAACGAAGAAGCCTCTTCAAGCTCTGCTCAAAAAACCTCCTCACCGCAAGCCCAAAGAGAATCTACAAGGCCACAATGACAACGTCGACGCCAACCACCAGTATGCTTATGCTTGCAAGATTACGAGGTAACTCTTGATGATGATGGAGAATTGGTACACTTTGCTTTTTTTGCAGATAGTGAACCAATGACATTTGAGGAGGCAATTCAAGATTTTAGATGGGTAAATGTAATGAATGAGGAGATCAAGGCTATTGAAAGGAACAATACATGGGTTCTCACTGATATTCCACAAGCTCACAAAGCAATTGATGTCAAGTGGGTTTTCAAGACAAAGGTGAAGTCAAATGGCAAGGTAGAAAGGTATAAAGCGAGATTGGTGGCAAAGGGATTTGAGCAGAGGCTTGGCTATGATTTTCAAGAAGTCTTTTCTCCTATTACTCGAATGGAGACCATTAGACTTATAGCTGGTTTGGCTGCACAAAATCAATGGAAAGTCCATCAAATGGATGTGAAGTCAGCTTTTCTAAATGGCCCACTTGAAAAAGAGGTATATGTCAAGCAACCTCCTGGATTCATGAAACAAGGAAGTGAAGATAAGGTGTACAGGTTGAAGAAAGCATTGTATGGCCTCAAACAAGCTCCACGAGCATGGAACAAGCGTGTTGATTCCTTCTTCCTCAAAGCCGGTTTCGAGAAGTGTCCCTGAGAACATGCTTTATATGTGAAGGTTAACAATTCTGGTGATATATTGCTGCTATGTCTTTATGTTGATGATCTAATATTCATAGGCAATAATCCCACAATGATCGAAGATTTCAAAAAGTCCATGATGGGTGAGTTCAACATGACTGATCTTGGGCTCATGTCATATTTTCTAGGCATCGAAGTAGTTCAAAGAAAAGATGGGATTTTTATTTGCCAAAAGAGGTATGTTGCTGAACTCTTGAAGAAATTCCATATGCAAAATTGTAATTGTGTAAGAACTCCTGTGGAAGTTGGTACAAGATTGTTAAAAAATGGAGAAGGGGCACCAGTTGATTTAACTTATTTCAAACAAATTGTTGGGAGTTTGAGATATCTTACATGCACAAGACCAGACATCTCTTATGGCGTTGGCCTAATTAGCAAGTTCATGGAAAATCCGCAACAATCTCATATGCAAGTAGCCAAGAGAATCATGAGGTACTTGAAAGGTACTCTTAATTATGGTTTGTTTTATTCTTCAACAGACAATTGTACTATTATAGGCTACTCAGATAGTGATTGGGCTAGAGATCTAGATGATCGAAAAAGCACCTCTGGATACTGTTTCAATTTTGGTGCTACCAGCTTCTCTTGGTCATCAAAAAAGTAATATGTTGTTGCTCTATCAACCTGTGAAGCAGAGTATGTTACTGCAACATCAAGTGCATGTCAAGCAATCTGGTTGCTCAATTTAATGAACCAGATTTATACTCCAATGAAAGAACCAATGAAGTTTTTGTTGATAATGTCTCTGCAATAGACTTGGCAAAGAATCCTATCACACATGGAAGAAGCAAACACATCGACGTCCGATTTCATTTCTTGAGAGATCAAGTTGGCAAGAAAGCAATTGAGCTGGTTTACTGCAAATCGGAAAACCAAGTAGCAGATATCCTCACCAAACCTTTGAAGTTTGAAGCTTTTATCAAATTAAGGAGTATGCTTGGAATGACCGCTTTGCCGGATCAGGATTAAGGGGGAATTGTTGGTTTGTTAATCCTAATCCTATTGTAGTTTTTCACTTTTGAATAAGTCTTATTGTCACCTATTATCTAGAAACCAGTTTATTTGTTTGTTACTCTTTAGGACTTAGTGCAGAAACGTGTCAGTGTGCATGTTAGCCATGTAGCCTTGTTTTCAGGATTTAGTTGCTATTTATTTGGTTGTATTGTTGATGTCTTCTGCCTATATAAAGGCTGTTATCAATGAAATAAAATCTCAATTCATATCAGTATTTTTCAGTTTAAAAACTCCTCTTATTGCTGCATTTTCTTCTCTTCCTCTATCATGCAAGACAGAATGTATGGTGTTGCAATGTTGTAGCAACAGATCCACGGTGTTCAGCTTTTATTCACTTCAAAAAAATCTACACTATACGTTGCATGCAATTTTGTTTTACATTCTTTCCCTGGTCCATCTAATAATTATGCTGGTGAGCCTAGATATTTTCCTTTTTAAGCAGAAGTGTATTAATGGGCTTTCTGCACTGGAGATAAACATTGAAAAGGCTCTTTTGTAACATATACGTGTTTGAAAAAGCCAATGCCCTTTCTTTATTGCTTGTCCAACATCTTCTATGCTATCAAGGTTGATAGAAGCAATTGGGTTGGGGACAATACCTTCCATGGTACAGCATGATGTAGTCTGGATTCTTTAAAAAAAAATACAGCCAATTTCTTCTGTTGAGCGCCGAACTTTGTGTCGGTGCATTCATGTGTTTCAGTACAAAAAATTTGTAGTCCTGGTTCAGAAATATATACAAAACAAGGTGGTATTCAATTTCAACATATTAATACAGAAAAGTAAAGCATGAAATAGACAAATAGATTTATTTTTTCAAAAAAACAAAGGACAAGGAAACTCAGTTGAATCTAATTTGAGGAAGAACCATGGAACTCATCATCTAGATGACATGAAACTTCTGAATGAGGTTCTCTCTCATTTTCCATCCCCAAATCAACATTTAGTTTTGCAAGTTCTAATACAACTTCTGGTTGAGGTTCTCTTCCATTTTCCATCACCAAATTAAAACTTACAAGTTCCAACAAAGAAATAGTTGGAAAAGGCTTCAAAAGTTGTCTTTGGCAAGCAACAAATTGTCGAGACACATATTTCATTGTTGGTCTGGACTTGGGTTTTGCACGCAAGCAAGCTAATGCAAGCATAGCGGCAACAACAATACTTTGGATAACATTTTTGGTTCTTGGAGGCGATAGACGTGTGTCCAATACATCACTTAGCATCACATTTTGCAAAGAATATGGTTTTGATAACAATGTCAACAGTTCTCTAGGATGTCTTCCCATTAGTACTTCCAATGCTGCAACGCCAAAGCTATAAACATCACATTTCTCAGTCACAACAATTGTATAGGCAAGCTCTGCACAGGTAAATCACACATTTCACATGTCAATTCAATAGTAAATAGTGACATAAGACAACAAAAGAAGAATGTTGTTATGTTGATAGAAAAAACCTGGGGCAATATAAACAGTAAAAGTTTAAAAGTTTTATATCTAAACTTTTCATAAACTCTTTTTTTATTTATTTTTTTCTATTTCTAAAAGTAACTTTAAAATTTTTCCTTCAATAAAAATGTTAACTTATCCCTCATAAACAATACTAAAAAAATAAAAACTCTCACAAGCTAAACCAAACATGCCCCTTAAACCACGAAGACTTGAATATGTGAGTAAATTTTTTATTGACAAATAGTTTTAGGTTGTTTGGCAACAGTTTTTTCCTTTTTTTGTTAATCTTATTTTGCAGTGTTTTTTTTTAGGGTTGCTTACTAGCTTTATATTATAAATTTTATCTTTTAAATTTTAAATATTTTGAAGGGAAAACTTTCATTTTTTTTTTTAAAGGTAAATGCTTACAAGCAAGTTTTGTATAGAGACGCATGTGCGCAGCACAGCACCTTTCTTTTGCTGATAAAAAATAATTGGTCGGCTCCCACCATCCACTCGCGTTGAACAGTCAAGGTCGGTCGTCTCCCCCTGGTCACTATCCATGCGTTGCACACAATTAGTAATCTTTTCCAAGGGTACCATTTCGTGGAATCGGAAAAGTAATGTCAGATGAAATTTCTTTTCTTTTGATTGAGTTTAACTTTTAGAGTTGACTCAGGTCTTTCTTTGGAAGTATCAATGAAAGAAGATGGCACAAAGCAAGATCTTTAATTCTTTGTTATTGTAATGACAATTTCTTTTCATTGTAGAAATTAAGCTTGATTAGGACCTTTAGAGTTGGTTCAGTCTTTGTTTGGAGTCAAAGACTTTATATCCACGAATGAAGCGGACACACCGCAAGTGAGGGGCTTAATTTTTCCTCTTAGAAAGTAATCATGAAGTTGCCTACCATATAAATCTTTGCATATAGTCATTCGTGGCTGTTCTTTTAAGGGAACGAATAGAATGAGCAAAGACAATAAAACTTCAATATTTTTTTAAAAAATAATTGATATGTATTCTAATTTGATTTTTTTTGTAGT